TTTGTCTAGTTTTTTTCCTCGAACATCATTGCTTTGGAATTATATATATATATATATTTACATACATATATATCTGATAAAAATTAAAGAAATGCGATTGAACGCCATTCCTGAACACATTTAAAATATTTTGTTTTTACAACTTGACCATGCAATTTATTTTGACAACTCTAGGCGTTTCAAAATGGGCTGAAAATAAAAAGAAAGTTTGTAAGATAAATTATCATCAAAAAGAAAATCTTATCAAAAAAAAGAAAATCTTATCAAGAAAAAGAAAAAATCTAAGCTCAAAAAACTAAAATTTGAAAAGGAAAATATATTTAAATTATATTTTTTAAAAACTACAATTTATGTGTTGTAAATTATCGAATACATAAATTACTACATAAGTATATCAAATACATAAATTATGTAATTAAATACATAATTAAATATGTAATAAAAATGTATAATAAAAATACAAAATTATTAAATTCATCAATTACTATATAAATATATTAAATACAAAAATTATTAAATTTACTTATTGCTTTATTAAATTAATTAATTAAACAAATTAATTATGTTTACAATAAACTCATTTTATTTAAATTATCAAAATATATTACATGTAATTACATTTATATAAATTTTTTGAAAAATCTTTTCAAAATTTTTCTAGGATTAATTTGATAAACACTTTTATTATTAGTATATATTATATTATTAGTATCACCCCGTATCTTTGGGGTAATTGTGCAGCCTGGTCAGCATTATCCCAATTCTTTTTTCGAATATGAATAATGAAAACAAGAATAATAATTATTACAAATAAGTTTTATAACAGAATAATTTTATGAGTTTAAGAATTAATAAAAATAAGTAGGACAATATTACTATTAAATACAATAGTCACAAATATAAATATCGTTTTTAGGGAGGAGATCTGTACAGTCTTTGTGGACCCAGTCACCACATGCAGCCCAGGTTACCCACCATTCTCGGTTTTTACCAATTTACCCACAAACCAAACAAATATCTGAAGACTTTTCTATTTTCTAGCCATTTTATACGGCCATGATTACCCCGTATAAAATGGCATAAACCCAAAATGAATCAATTTATTAACAAAAATAAAAACATATTTGCAAATAAAAAGATACTTACATTATATATATTTAAAAACTAGAATAATTATATTTCTTATTATTAGTGTTATTTAGTCAACATCTTTAACATACTTAATAACACAATAATACTTTTTCTTTCTAATACATAAATGACAGTTAACAACATAAGACAACCAGCGCCACTTATGTAGGAAGAACCAAGAACTAGGACCAATTATTAGTTCTTCTAGTAGAACATAGATACCAGTACAGATAAAAAATCTCACTTATATTACACAAATAAAGAAATATCATATGTCCATAATTACCCCAGAGACTATCAATCCCCTGACCTCCCTACTCAAATTAGTTACGTGATAACTCTAATACTCAAACACGTTGCAACACAAATTTAATAGTGTAATAAAAAGTACTGGTTTATAAGTAATAAAATAACTATTACCTAAATTACAATTTTCAAAAAAAATTTTAATAAAATAAATTTAAAAGGGGTTTTAAAAACTAAAATATTTTGTTCGAAATTTATAAAAACCATTGGACAAAAAAAAAATAAAAAAATACTTAAACTGTAAAAAAAAAAAAAAAAAAAAAAAAAAACTACATGGAATTTCGGAAATTTCACTGAGTGTATATTAGGTTGATGCTATTTTTTATTTTGTCATGAAACCTTTTCCATAACATGAGTAAATGTATTCTAAGAACAGTTTAATAAAAAGTGGTTTATAATTTTAAAATTTTATTAGGTCAAAAAAAAAGTTGCCTTATAGAAATAAGAAACAAATACTTATCAGGATTTTTAAGTACTTGGTGTAGTTAAAACAATTTTAGAATATTATAGCGTCTGTATGATACTTTGTTGACTACGACATATTTCTGTTAAATGAACAGGTCTGTGAATTTTGAAAAGACAAAATTAAAATAATATTTTTTGTGGTATTATAAAATATAAAAGTTTGTAGCGAAAAAACCCAGACTAAAGATTCTTTTTTTTAAAAAAAAATCTTCTTAAAATCACAATCGTTTGTCTAAATTTGAATAATATTTTAAATAAATGGGTTTTTTAGGTGAAATGAACATCATAGTTTAATAAAATGATCTGTTCTGATCGTTTATTGGCAATTTTCCATAATTATAAGCTCTTTTTTGGACAGAATTCTTTTGTTTTTCTCTCAAAATGATGATGACTAATATAATTTTTGGCTTTGGTTCGAACCACCCAAAAGGAAACTTAAATCAAAAGTGAGTAATACTTCTCCAAATAAATTTTTTTTGTTAATATGTTTGCTTTGTTTTTAATTTTATGCAATGTCAGTTGCTGTGATGTGCGCAGAAGCTGGAATTTCTACCCACAAAGGAGCTAGAGTAACTTGCTCATTAAGTTATTTCCTTGATGATATTCCCACTCCACATCAATTTGCTGTTTTTAGAGCTGGTAAAATTTGCTGTTTTTAGAACAGGTAAAAGTTATAACTCTTTTTAAATTTAAGGCAGCTTTGTTAATTGAGACATCCTTTATCTTACATTTTGATGAGAAAGCTCTGGCACCATATGATTATGGCATTAAGAAAGTAGATTGTATAGTCATTACCCTTTACTCAGACAGACCAATATTTTAGTACATTTACCTCAAACAATACATACTAGTGTAACTAGTATAATGTTGTTGATAAAATATCCTTTATTATATGTGACAACTGTTTTATTAACACTGGTTTATAAAGTTAATTTTATAATTTATTTATAAATATAAATGATGCAATAATTAATTACATTTTATTCAAGGTGAAGCTTTTGATGGTTCTAGTAGAATAATAGGCATTTTACAAACTGAGCTACCAAACAGACATTTTCCATATTATGAGTTAATACGGAATATATGGAATAATGGTAGTTTTCTATTTACCAACACCATCAAAATTATCTGTTCTAACTAATTTTAAGTTTATAAAAAAACTAAAAAATAAGTAACCACAATTTAAAGAATCATATAATGTCCTGGATAAAACGCCTCATCCTCATCCTACTGTTAAAACTTAAAAAAAAATGATTATAGACGATTGTCTAGGTTTGTTTCATTAAACTTTTTTTTTCAACATTAATGATATCTATGCATTATATATCCATATTGTGTATCTATTTTTTTCTTCAGGTTATGGATTGCCTTAAGAATATTTTACCCAAACTAAAGCTACCAACTAAATTGCCATGTTCTCACTCAGCAAGATGGAACAACAAAGCAATTTATATTTTACTGGGCTATCTAAGGCAATCATTGAAAGAAATAGCTAAGTTTATTAGCTGTTCTTGAATACATGCATGGTTTAAAATGAGGGAGGAACCCAATTGGGTGAACCTGAAAGAGATGATATCAGCCTGCATTACAACCCAAGAAGCTCTGATCAAAACTATTGGTGTTAAAGTCACATTAAAAAATGTGCATAGAACAAATGAGGTTTTTGAGAGAAAACTCCGAGCTATGGACATCCATCAAGTCTGATGATGTCATCCATCAAGTCTCTTGATAAACCTTTCTTAACTGAATGTTTATTAAAATGTCTAATCAGCAATAAGCTAACTTTTTAAACTTCATTTTATTACATTTATAGTTTGTATGGTAAAAAAAAAAAACTTATTTCTTTAGTAACTTTTTTGTTTTGACCTAATCTTAATAAACAGGTTTTTAAATGCTATTTTTTTTGTGTGTCAAGATATTAATTGCAATAGAGTGACACAAAAAATTAATTGTAATAATAATAATAGCATTAATAGTAATAATATAGCAAAACTAAAAAAATAATTGTTGATCTGATGGCAATTAAGAATTATATTAAAAATTATTTATTATTATAAAAATTATATTAAAATATTTGAAAATCTAATTTTAAGCAACTATTAATGCTTAAATTTTTAGTCTATTTGTATAAATAATTGTTCAAAAATTAAGATATGATATATGATGGTAATATACATCTATTTTAAATAATCGCCCACTATCTGGTTATTCTAGGTTTGTAGGATCAAAATTTTTTATGCGTGCAATTCCACAGGATTTTTTTTGTCAACATTTATAAATGCTTAGCATGGTTTTATAGAGCTTAAAAAGAATCAAAAAATGAGTTGTCTTTCAATTTTAGAAGTTAAGTGTATCCAAAATTATTGCATTTTTTGTGCTAAAAAAAGCAGATAAAGTGATTGTATACCATATTTCTTAAAATTTTCAGTATTATATATGAATACCCCAATTTAATCTAATTAAGCAATGATAAAAACTTTAATTTAAAATGTTTTTTGTCACATGAAAAAATCAATGTTTAATTAGTTATTACAAAAAATAATGCCATAAATAGTGGTGATTAAGGATTGAATGATGCTAAAAAATTGCTTTTGTAATTTATCTGTTTTTTTCTTTCTGTTTATTTAAAGTAAAACCTTCAGTGTTTAAACCCTTTACAATAAGTTACGCAACAGTTCTAATTAAATCGATTAAAAATGCAGGAAGTTTCAAAAAAAACTTTTTTGGAAACTTTATATTCAAAATTAATTTAAAACGAATGCTTTAACTTAATCTAGTTTGTTTGGTTAAAAAAAGTTTGTTAAGTTTGGCTAAACTGTAGCAAACCATCTCCCTACCTCATGTGATATTTGGTGACACTTTCCAATACCCCCTTTCTCTAAGACTGTCACATTATTTGAACAGCTAATTTATATGTATATGTATACATATATGTATATATAAATATATATATATATGTATATATATATATATATATATATATATATATATATATATATATATATATATATATATATATATATATATATATATATATATATATATATATATATATATATATATATATATATATATATATATATATAATTTTATTTAAGGACTTAATGTATCAACTTTTGTCTGGTGTTGATTACTTGCACATAAACCGAATAATTCATCGAGACATCAAGCCTCAAAATGTTCTTATAACTAAAAATAAACAAGTGAAAATAGCAGACTTTGGTCTCGCTAGAATTTATGGATTTTGTAAGTTAGTTACTTCAGTGGTAAGTTTTAAATTTATTATAAAATATCATAGTATGTTATATTTTTTGCAAAATTGTTTACATCTTAAATTTATTTAAAATTATATTTCAGAGCTTTCTTGGAGTAAAGTTTTTTTATTTTATATTAAATTGTGAAATTTGTTGTTAAAGAAATTAATTTTAATTTTTCATAATTTGTTATTCAATTCTATTTTAACAAACCTTTTCTTTTAATTTATTTTTTTAACTTTTGTATTTGTTTTTAATTGTTAAGTAATATAAGGTAATGAAGACAGTATATATTTTTAATAGGTTGTGACTTTATGGTATCGAGCACCAGAGGTTTTGCTTCAAAGTGCATATGCTACCCATGTAGATCTTTGGAGTGTTGGTGTTATCATGGTTGAAATGTATAATAGAAGGTACGCTCTTGGAGTATAAGTAACCCAATAGTATTCTGACCAATAATATCTTACTTCTATTTTAAAGTTAAATTTAGTGCGATTTATTTAATGGATAAAGTACATCACATTAAATTTACCTATAAACTAAATCAGGTCAATCAATTAAGTTACTCAACAATTAATTATTACTATCAACTATTAATTACTCAACTAAGTACAGTTAGTATTAGTTATAACTAGTATAATTTTGTACATTCTAACATCCAGTGCAATATCTATTCGCTTTCTTTATGCTATCTTTCTAACTTGGTTTCTTCTGACTTTCACTATAATATACTTTGTTTTTCTTTAAACTCACTTACTGGTTCATTGGAGCAGGTTATGATGTTCTTTAGAGAGCTGAGCGTATCTTTCCGTTCTTAGTACGTGGCCTCTATATGGCAATTAACCATAGAAGAATAAACCACAATACCATTTACTCAACTAGTAATTTACCTAGCATGCTTTAAGACATTTACTTGCAAAAGTTTGTCATACAAATGTTTCTGCTTCTTGTTAACACTCAAACTTCTAACTAAAAATTATTTTAGCAAGAAATTTCAAATAGAATATGAAAAACGCCAGTGTTTTATATTTTCCATTTATAGCGATATCATAGAAAACTTTAGTCTTCTAAAATTATTCGAATAATCATAAATTGGAAATTGGAAATTAAAAAAAAAAGTTTAAAAAAGTTTAAAGAATTTCAATGCTGGTTGAAAATAATTATAAATGAAAACTGAATAATTTAATAAATACTGCAGCAATGTCAGCAATACCATGTCATAGCGAGGATCATTTCTGAAAATGAAACATCGACCTAGCTACAGTAACAATACTACGTTTAGAAGATAGGGCAAGTAAGGAAGAAAGTTTTATTTAAATCGAAAACATTTTTAATAGTTGAATATTTTTTTCTAAAAACATTTTTTGTTTCTTGAAAATAGTTTAAAAAATAGAAACAAAACATTGCAAACATAAAACAAGTGATTAAAATTAAATTATAAAAAATTTAAATTAAAAAAAATTATTCTACTTCTGCTCAAAATAATTTTCTTCAAAAAAAAATTTCAGCATATACTTAAACTTATGGAAATATAATTCGAGTTATTAAATTAATAATAACATAAATTATTTGAGTAATAAATTATTAAAAACGGGTTATCTAATAAGTTTGGTATTTTTTTGCGTCGAAAAGTTTTTTTTATTTTTTATATATAGATGTTTTTGCGCTAAAATTTAAGTTTAAAGTTTTATGGCAATTCTATTTGCTGCTTTTTATTTTAAACACATTATTAATGTTATAAACTGTATAAAACAGCAATAAAACAATGTAACGATGTTTTATTCTAACACAAGCTCTTTACACTGACAAAACAATTTTGCATTATTGTTTTACTGTTGTTTTATAGCTTTTTACAAAAATAATTTAATTCACTTTAAAAATAAAGCATGAAAGGTTTAAATTTTTCGAAACCAACTTTTTTGAGTATTATGTTAAAAAAAAACAATTACTAACGACCCCTTTACTGCAAAGCAGTGGTAGAAGTGAAGGGTAATGGATTTCAAAAATTTTTTTTGCTGTTACATTTTGATATAGTTAAAATGTAATCTTGTGTACTTATGCACAGCTGTCTTAACTAAAAGCTGCCACCTATATTTAATGAATGGTTTACTCTACGCAGTGCAAACATCAGTCATTCTACAAGAAATTCTTTTAGAGGTACACTAAGTGTCTAAACCTATAATTCATTATTTGATGATGAACACTCTTTTACAAATTTGGCAATAATAGGTTCAAAATAAATTAAACACTTCTTTTGTAATATTAAAAAGCATACTTATTCTCTTGAACAATCCATGTAATACGCTTGTATATCTGGTATATATATGATTGTTGTTGTTGTCTTTGTTGTTGTTATAAAGAAGATATATATGTAAAAATCAACTAATATCTTATTTAGTATAGAAAATATCTAGGAGCTCTCAGCTAGTATTGATTAAGAGTTTAAATTATTGAGTAATGGGAACATAACATCTTATTAAAAAACATATTAGTGTATTATTTAAAATAGCAATACACATAACCATTTTTAGAGATTTAACTAATTAATAATATTACTAATATTTATTATTAGTTAATTATAATAATTATTATAATAGTAATAATATATATATATATATATATATATATATATATATATATATATATATATATATATATATATATATATATATATATGTATATATATATATATATATATATTATATATATATATATATATATATATATATATATATATATATATATATATATATATATATATATATATATATATATATATATATATATATATATATATATATATATATATATAAATGTTTTTCTATTAAGGCCTCTATTTCCTGGTAAAAGTGACATTGATCAGTTGCATAAAATTTTAAGGTAAAATTTGATTTTGTTCCATTAGATTTGTTGGTTCTTTTTGTTTTCATTTTTATTAAAATATATGACTGTGATGTCATAATGAAAAATAATACAACAAATTCAATTTAATCTTTTAGTATCATTGGAACGCCAGAAAGATGTGATTGGCCAGAAAATGTTTCACTTCCTTATGAAACATTTATTAATTATAAAGGAATAGATCTTCAACATTTAATTACTAAAATTTCTGCTGCTGGTTTGGACTTGATAGCAGTATGTTTGCTTATAATTTTATTAAACATATGTTGTTATATATAAATATAGCATTTATTTATATTTTATATTTAATAAAAATTAAATCAGGTTTACTTTTCTATAACACACTTTTTTGCCCCACATTTCAAATTTCTCCTCTTTTTTTTTTTAATTTTTTTCCTTTTTCTTTTTTTCTTTCATCTTTTCCTTATTTTCCATTCTAAGGCAGTAGAATCACTACAGTTTTTTAAGAGTTAGTTTAGTTGTAGAAATGTTAAAAATGTTTATTGCAGGGATGGGAAGACCCTATATTCATTATTCTTATCTTCTAAGTCTTGCAGTTCCATAAATGTTTTGGAACATCAACACTTCAAATGAAAAATGTCCTTTAAGAGTCCTTGAGTCTTTTAAATCTTGAATGTAAAAATTTTTTTTTTAATCTTTCCAAAACTTAATTCTTACCTCGCAACCTCTTTTTATTTTTTTTTTAATAAATGGTTTTAAGTGATAAATATAAAATAGTGTATATAAATATAAAATAGTGTACAATATAAAATGCAATAAACTTTTTTTTGAAATAATCGGGATTTTTACTATTGATAGCATTTGATCTAAAAACGCTAAATACAAAAATTTTGAATGTAGGACAATTTTTAGATTCCCCACAAAACCTTAGAGGTTTGAGAAACAGATTGTGCAAGTGTTGTGCAACGTTTTTACCCACTAACTGTTATTGTTTCTTAGTACACTAATTATTTATCACTAAGAAATAATTCTATATAACTTTAATAATTCTATTATAATATTCTATATAACTTTAATAATTTGCGACTACTTGTACACACTTGCGGAATATGTGGAGTTTTCCTCCACACCGGTGTGTAGCTTTCACTCCTAGACACAAGTGTGGAGTTATTTTGCACAATTTTGTGCAATTAACTCTACACTTCTGTGCAGAAGTCGAGTTAGAAAAAGTTCATTTCCACAAAAGTGTGCAAAATAACGCCACACTTGTGTCTAGGAGTGTATTTTTTGTTCCGCAAGAGTGTATTTATCCCACAAAAGATTTGTTTTAAAACACTACAGATGTTGCATGGCAACAATCAGTTGAGTTACTCTTACTCTAATACTTTTCAAGCATTCTAATCATTTTCATGACATTCTAATCATTTTCATGACATTGCATTTAATATTGTGAAGTTGCATTTAAGGCAGTCATTAATTCTTAAGTTCTTTATTCTTTTAAGGCTAAAATAGTTATCAAAAACATGCCCCAACCTTAATAAGTATAAGTTGCTACAGTTGAGTTTTAAGGATCACCTTAAAAGTAGTTTCCCCATTCTGTATACCGGTTCTGTAAACTAATCTTTTTATACCGAATTCAATGTTATAAAAACATTAGTTTACAATCTTTCTTGTGGCAACGATTGCAGAGTAAAGTATCAAGCCTATAGGAGACTTTAAAGACATGTTTTGATCCAGTTGAGAGAAAACAAATTGCTCAGGTTGTGGAAAAGCATTAGCTTACTGTGAACATTAGCTTAAAAATCTAGTCTAATTACATTAAACAGTTCATTTCTTAATCAGTTCATGGTTTATAGTTTAAATACACTTTTCTAACTTACAATGGTTATTACCAAAGTAAAACCTTTCTGATGCTAAACTCCATTATTCTCAGTTCACTAAATCTCGCATCTTATCGCAGAAGTTAGGCTCTAAAGACTTTTGGAAAATCTTCAACAGCATTGTTAACAAGGGTAGATCTAACATTCCATCTCTCATTCATGGGACTGATCTTGTTACCTCTCCCAGGGATAAGGCAGAACTGTTTGCAAAGAAATTTTCTTCTAATTCCACTCTTGAATCTTATGGACATTCTCTTCCTTCCATTCCAGTCAAACAGGTTGACCCATTGTTAGACATTCAAATCACTCCGGCTTCTGTTGCTAAAGTCATATCTCAATTAAACTTGTCTACAGCTTGTGGTCCAGACAACATTCCTGTCACAGTCTTGCAGAATTGTTCTCCAGAACTTTCTTCAATTCTCTCTAAACTATTTAACAAGTGTTTGACTGAGTCTTGTTTTCCTGCTTGTTGGAAAATGGCATCTGTGGTTCCAATATTCAAAAACTCTGGAGAAAATTCTGACCCCTCCAATTATCGTCCGATCAGTCTTCTTTCTGTTAAATTCAAGGTCTTTGAGTCTTTGATCAACAAATTCCTCACATCTCATCTTGAGTCAAATAAACTGCTGTCAGACAATCAATACGGTTTTTGATCCTCTCGCTCTACGGCCGACTTGCTAACTGCTGTAACTGAAAGATTTTATCGTGCATTAGATGGAGGCGGTGAGGCTAGGGCTATTGCTCTCGACATATCTAAAGCTTTCGACAAAGTTTGGCATGCTGGTCTTCTCCATAAGCTTGCTTCATATGGTGTTTCTGGGAAAGTTTTTGAGATTATCAAATCATTTCTTTCTGACCGGTTTATTAAAGTCATCCTTGAAGGCCAACACTCTTCTTTATTTCCAGTAACATCTGGGGTTCCCCAAGGTTCCATCCTGGGCCCTGTTTTGTTTCTTATCTACATAAACGATCTTCCTGACAACCTTTCATCTAAAGTAGCTCTTTTTGCTGATGACTCAACTTTATACTCCTGTCTTGACAAAAAGTCTTCACTTTTCGATCGCCTAGAACAAGCAGCTGATCTTGAATCTGATCTCACTTCGGTGGTAGATTGGGGTTCACAGTGGCTTGTGAGTTTCAACTCTAAAAAAACCCAATTGTTTACTGCAAACAACTACCGTAATATGGTCAACATTCCTATATTAATGAATGGCCTCTTACTGAGTCATCCTCTTTACGTCTTCTTGGATTATCGCTTACTACTGACCTTTCATGGAAACCATATATACAATCGATTGCTAAATTAGCTTCTGCTAAGGTTGCTTCTCTTTATCGTGCTCGCCATTTCCTTACTTCTGATTCCATTCTCTACCTCTACAAATCTCTTATTCGTCCCTGTATGGAATACTGTTGTCATATTTGGGCTGGTTCTTCTAACGATTCACTTTCTCTTCTTGATAAGGTCCAAAAACGCATTGTAAATGTTGTTGGACCTGGACTATCTGCTAAGCTTGAACCTCTTTCCCATCGTCGTAAAGTTGCATCTCTTTCTCTTTTCTACAGATACTATCATGGTCACTGCTCAAAGGAGTTATCATCTCTAGTTCCATCAACTAAAATTCATTCTCGTTTTACTCGTCATTCAGCTAAGTCTCATTCGTTTACTGTATCTGTCCCTGCATGCTCTAAAAACTTTTATTCATCTAGTTTTTTTCCCCGCACTCCAATCCTTTGGAACTCTCTCCCATCTTCATGTTTTCCTGACTCATACAACCTTCAACTTTTCAAGTCTTCTGTCAACCGTTTCCTTGCTCTATAACTCTGTTCTTTTTTTTTTCCTAGTAACTCCCAACTTAATAGTGGTTGCTTGCTGCCTTGTTGGGAGTGAATGCAAATAAAAAAAAAAAAAAAAAAAAAACTTTAGTTGTAATTCTTTGAAGACTTTAGTTATATTCTAGATTATTTTTGAACATTTGCAGGGCACTTGCCAACATTTATTGTACAATACTACAAAAATAAATAGTATAATAGTTACACTGCAAAAAAAAATCCCCTAAATAAATGATATATTTTATATTTATCTTGTGTTTTTAAATTGATCTTCAGTTAAGCAATACATTTCAAAGTTTTATCAAATGTAAATTAGATTTGTAGTTGATTACTCAGATGTTGTAATTATTTATTTTTATATTTTATTTTATTTTTAGTTGAAAATTTTACTACTTAAGTGTTATATATATGAAAAATATTTATTTCTATTGAGTTTATTTCTATAGCTAAATATATATAAGTAAAAAGTTACTTAAAAAATAAAAATGGGAGTCAATTGCAATCAAATAAAGAAAAGGCTTTTAATGTTGGATTAGAGTTGGATCAAAAACCACCTCAAACTGTTCAAATGTTCATAATTTCAAATGGTGCTTATTTTAATGTGCAAGATAAAATAGCTTGAGTAATAAACTATTCGGACCTTGACTTAACTTAATGCGGTAGTGGTGTAGTGGTAAGAGTCGGTAAGAGTGGTAAGAGTGTAGTCGAACTCCGAACCGCTCGCTTTGTAAGCGAGCTGTTCGGAGTTCGACTCCCACCACGTCCCTGGAAGTACCACGCTCAACTTAATTTCTCCGCGCAGCGGTCTTGCTTGTCAAGGTTCGTGTTTCGGAGTTAAAGAGTTGAGAGAGGGTTGTACCACAATTTAAAAAAAAAAAAAATGAGTAGCCTCCTCGACTGTAGTGGCCCCCTCGGGCCTTGGGGAGGTGAATAAATTAAAAAAAAAAAAAACTCAAATCACAATTTTTCTTGACTTACACCACCCTTGCTCTCAACGACTCATATGCGGTATTGGTGTAGTGGTAGAGCGCTCGCTTCATAAACGAGTGGTTCGGAGTTCGATCCTCACCACGTCCCTGGTAGTACCGCGCTCAACTCGTTTCTCCGCGCAGCGGCCTTGTTCATCAAGGTTCGTGTTTCGGAGTTATAGAGTTGAGAGAGGGTTATAGCCACAAATAAGTAGCCTCCTCGTCTGTAGTGGCCTTCTCGGCCTTGAGGAGGTGAATTAAAATTAAAAAAAAAATATAGAGATTTCTCTATTTTTCCGGCTTTAATAATAAATTGCAAGTAAAGCCGATTTTTTTTGTTTGCTATTTTAATCGGCCATTAATATATTGTATGTATATGTATGTATATGTATGTATATGTATGTATATGTATGTATATGTATGTATATGTATGTATATGTATGTATATGTATGTATAAGTATGTATATGTATGTATATATATATATATATATATATATATATATATATATATATATATATATATATATATATATATAATTTATGTTTAACTAAAATATGTTAACTAAGATTCAGACATGAGTATATAAGTTTATT